TTGCGTCTATTCCATACTTTCCAGACCAGGCAGAGGCGTACAAATCGAACTACGCATGTATCTCTCTCTCCTCTCAACTCTGTGAAAACCATAAATTTCTTACTATCAGAGTACACCCACAGCGGCAGTTCGACTAAGACACCTTTAAATTTTTCGTGTCGCAGTTCGGAAGAACCTCTAAACAAGCTCGTTATGACTTCATGTTGACCTCTTGGTCGAGCTGGTGAGTCGAGTGATCCAAGATAGATCCATCCATTGCTGAACAGAGAGCCAGCATTCAACAGGCCTGGAATGAGATTACCGTGGAGGAGATCCGCAAGTCCATCACTTAATGGAAAGCGAGATTACGTGCCGCATGCCACGCCAAAGGAGGTAAGGAGGTTTCGATAAGGGGAGGTGTATGGAAAATTTAGAGGTGCCTTAGTCGAACAGTTGCTGTGGATGCGCTCTGGTAGCGATAAACTCTTAGTTTTAATGGAGCCAATGGATAGATGTATACTTGATATGGTGTGTATGTCTCTGCCTCATCTTGAAACAGAAATGAACAGAAAAATCTCGGCTTTTTTTAAGCGCCGCTCGGGTACGTATGTCTTCGCATACCTCTCTGACGAAGTGCAGCTAAATGCAATAAAAGTATGAGTCAGAGGTCGAAATGCTCTTAGAGTACCAGTGTGGATTTAAAAAAATGGCCTAGCATCAGGTGCTACCCGACAACTTTAAGTCTCTTTTAACTACATAACTCTTTGATAACCCATGGAATTACACAACTAATGACGGACTAAAAGGAAAATAATTTCATCTGCAAAAGTACCTTAAAGAAAGAGAAAATTGGTCTAATGTGCAGGTCCACCTATACCTTTCTCTGGAGATAAGTAACCTGTAGGATTTCTGCAAATAAAGAAAGGATCTAATACATGCACCACTTCTTAACCCTTTAATGTATGATTTTTTTTATCTTTCGGCGAAAAAAATCTGGTAAGTTTCACTCACGTCCTAGAACAAGGGTCAAGTGGAAAACATAAAAAAAATCAAATTTGTAAGCAGTAGGCCCGAAAATTTCATTGTTGCTCATTTGTTACAAACAGCATTTTCAGCTTTCCAACCCATGCTGCATGGATGCTAGAGGGCTCAGTCGGTCCGTCAACATTCGTACATGCCTCAACACAAAATAAAATGTAAAAATACGGATGAGCCTGGACCCTGAATTAGCGTAAAGTTTAAGAAAATTAAATGAAAAACGTCGATCTGCCATACGACGAAACCAGATTGGTTTTAATTTCTTTGCCACCAGGAGTGTATGGCACCTAGCGACCGCATAGTTGCTAGAGGATCGAACTGTTACACATCTGCTACAGATTTACCTCAGGAGCTCGCTACCTGCGCATCCTAAAAATGTTTATTTGGTATGTAGCATATCTGCTACGTCATGCATTAAAGGGTTAATTAACAGAGCAAGGTCGTAATTTTCTCCTTCTGAGGCTTGGGAAACTGTTTCTTGCAGATAGACCACTTTGCCTTTCAGCCCTTCAATTCGGGGATTGGGGAGGGGGAAGAGAAAGAGGCGAAAGGGAGGGAAAAAGGGAAGTTGCAAGGCAGGGAATTAAAAAGGAGGAAGGTAATGAACCTGCGATCTTCTTTCCTTCCTGTGTTCTGGCCGGATTAAAGAGTGGCCAGCACAGAGGATCTACAAACCCTTGGCCGCTGGCCGCGTTATACAGGTGGCCGAATAATATAGGTTATTTTAACATTGAGCCTATGGAGCTAACGATTGGGACTTCTGACTGAAAATAGGAGGTGGCCGAATCCACAGGTTTCACTGTGTTTCTAGTACATTCTCTTCGGATTTTCGGTCACTTGCTACCACACTATTGTTCGTGTCTCCTGATCCCATGGCATTCCCAAGTTGAAATTTTGAGCATTATTGCAAAAGAAATTGAAAATGTGATAATTTTTCGAAAGAAATAAAAATGACCTTTTTTCTGTAATTAAAGGTCTAGTGTCAGACCCTTTGACATTTCACCTTTATTTTAATTGAATGTCCTTGAGTTACATATAGTTTGAAAGGGCAAAAAGAGACCTTTCAAACGACATCAAAGTCAGCTTTCTACGTTGATTAGAACAAAAGTTATGAGCACTTTAGTGACGACGACTTGACCCAAAATTGGTCACTTTTTGCCACTTTCAAATTGCTACATCTCTGGAAGTACTTGAAGCGTCCACAAAGGTGAAACTCACAATGAAGCTGTCCGAGCATCTTTAGTCGACTATGAAAATGAATTTTTCCCCATAAAGTTGAAGCCTTGTTCCATCGATGGGACATATAATAACGTCAAAGGAGGTATTGCTGAAAATAAAATTTGTTTTATCAATCACATTCCCTTACATCTCGGGGCAGAAACTTTTGGATCACCCCTCGTTCATGACTACATATCCAAAAACTGGTCAGGGGTTCCCACTTGCCAAAATAATTTAGTGGTAATTCCCCTTTATAAATGCTTCCACGGAAGTTTTTGTGTGCAACCGGTCAGCAAAATTGATTTTTGACACTCTGGGGATGTCTCCTTTTCAATTTCAGGATGGTCGTATTCAGAGGTCATACATCAGGCTTGCAACGAACCTCCATGTTTCAGGATTATTCTACGAAAAAAATCACCGAGAACAATTAATAACCTCTCTATCCAGGGTGGTATTCAAAATACCTATCATTTTGACCGTTTTGACCTCGTATCTCGCGAACGAGGTCGAGTTCGACTTGGCATCCACCCAGGCGTTATAGCCCAACACCTATGTATTCGACCTAGCACGGATGCCTACTTATAACACTCCATGCCACCATCCATGATTTCTTCCCTTGGCTGGTCGTCTAATCCTCGCCTCGGCTGGGTTTTGGCCCCATGGAATGCCATGCACACTAACTCGAGCTCGGCGCCTCTCGTGCCTTTCCAGCCAGTGCCATCCAAAGCCGCTCGGTGCAATGCCAGCTGAAAGCGGAGGGGATTATCCCCCTCGATACGGTCAAGTACATCCAGCAATCCTGCAGTTCGTCCTGTGGGTTTCGTATGTGTGCTTCTGCCCATGTCTTATCAGATGTCAGATACATTTTTTCCTTGCGGTTTTGGATTGCAGCTAGTTCGTCGAACCGAGTGAAAACCAGACATTAAAATTGAGGGCGGAGGGTCACTGGAAGTTTCCAGTCTCAAAAATCTCCCCAATTCGGTTTCATATTTCGGAATTCTGAACGTCACAACTAGGTCCTCGGTTTAACAACGATATCGTTAAATTCCGTTTGAAGCCAAAACCAAACGCGCTGGGAAAACTGTGATCACTCACCAGATTCCAGACTTGTTTGGAACATTCTCCGAAACGGTGAAACCGATCTCGCATTCGCTTGGACGCAGAGGAGACTCGACGCGAAGATAGAGGCGATCGAGCACCCTCGCATTCTCCCCCTTGCATGCGTGGCATGTGGACGAGGTCCCCGTGCCCCGGTCGGAGGTCTCGGGTGCTGGACCGGTCTCCTACGACAGCGGCTGCTTTGAAAAATAATATTAAAAAAAGGAGTTCCAGTTGACTGCTTTCGTTTTGGAAGCCCCGGGAAAAGAGGAGAAAGTTGCAGAAACGACAAAGAGCTGAAGAGATGTGAAAGGAGGGATGGACACAGCCGGAAAAAGCAGCGAGGCAAAGGAAATAATTCCTCGTTATGCTCGAGTAAGGAGGTACACCTATTGTTATTTTCTCTGCAAAAAAAAAGGAATTTGATTTCCGCTGTCGGTTTGTGGGCGGCACGCAAGGTATGTCAAGAAAAGTTAAATTATAATATTTATTTAATCGAGGAACAAGCCTGAAACTGGAGCACCTGTGACTATCCCCATGATTTAGTCTTCACATTCCCAGTTTTAACTAAATTTCTAGGATAAATAAATCCGGTAATATTCCATGGTTCCACTATGTACAAATCGTTACTCTTTTAGAATGTTCTTTGAAAATTTAATTGCCACAACCAGGACCGGATTAAAGGTTCAGGATCACCTATGCAGAACGCGTCACTCCCCATACCCTTTGCCACTATCTCGCGAAGGAGAACTGGGGGGGGGGGGGGTCTTGTAATATAGGGGGAATGTACAGTGTGTTCCATTTAAAACGCAACCCAACAACAACACGTACTGCGGTACAAAAATGAAGTCTTGCCTTGTCTTGTCTTCGAGAAGGTGGACATTTTCAGCATCTGCTGTGAAGCTGTTTTGTACGTTCCTGTATTATTCTTCCCAACAAATAAAAGCTATCAAACAACTCGTTTGTCATGTTTTATTGCTGTTGTACTTTGGGTTGCGTTTTAAATGGAACACCCTATATTTCGTTTTCACCATATCAAGCAGAATGGAGTTCGCTCTCACGGGAATTCTTCGCTTTTTCTTTAATCTGGCCCTGATCATTACGAGTTACATTTACAAAGTCAAACCCCCTCTAAACATTACCAACCAAGAATGAGTTGTGAGGGAACCAACCAGGTAGGTGAGAGGAGCACAATGAAATTCCTTCTTCTTTCTCACTCCATTTAGGTAACCATAGTCACCATATCGGTGATCAAAGGAAGCTGGCATTCCTCGTGGCATTTTTTAACACTTCATCCACAATACAATCACTTTCTCTGGCATGGATTACCTTCAAAAAAGGATCTGAAAGTTGACTCAAATAAAATACTTCTTGCCTTCAATAATAAAAAATTTTAAATTCCAGGAAACTTAGAGTTCCATAAGGGAACTCTTTTCCACTCGAGACATCTCTCCAGCAATATTTTCAAGATAACATCTTCACACATGCTTACGGGCACAAACTATCTTGAAAGCGATGCATTTATCAAATACTTCACAACAGATTTTGTATTTCCTTCGACATGATGTAGTTCTCTTGCTTGAAGGCAGCACCAGGGAGTTTCCACGGTGTGAACACAATCATGCTGGAATTGATTTGCAGAAAATGACAAGCAATTGACCACTTTCGCCTCTGTCTCTCCTTTATTGAATAAGACTGAAAATCAACATAAAAATAAAAAAGTCAATATAATAAGTTAAAAAATTACAGAAACATTCCCAGAGGGAACAATTTCTGAGTGAAGAATCATGATGAGATTGAGGGTCATACATGGATGGAACGCCACCATCCTGAGGTAAAAGTGAAAGTGTGAGGATTAATGTTGGAAATCCAAGCTATGAATCCGTTGGGAGAGTTTTTGAATGAGTGCATCTGTGTCTCGGTAGATGCCCGAACTCAGAAGCCTCTTCCGTTCATGTTCAAGTCTCCATCTCTCCAAATCCTTTCCTCCCTTCTCTTTCTCTCCTTGACCTTGATGTTGAATGGATCGTACTCGCATGTCAGCAAGGAGGCGGGAAATGTCCTCGGCTACGCTGGAGAGTGTCCGTTCATCTTGCTTCAGAGCTGCACTTGCCATCCGGGTCCCATACTGCAACCTATGGAAAATTTCCAACAAAAGGACAATGTATCTTCATTGAAAAATAGTGTGGAATGTATGAAAGAAGTAACAGGATCATTGAAAGAGACCACATAATATTTTCCCTTTAACTTTCACTTGTGTCATGGGTTCCAACTATTGTGATGACGATGCTACAGGAGCCAATGCTTTTTTTTCCCCAGAAAGGTTTCCAATTTCACATGTACTCCAAAGGCAATAAAATGAATAATTCTGTAATGTATGCCTCCCAAATGCCTCTATAGTTTTACAGAATGAAAGCAATTCCTTGAGCATGCACAGCATTATTCCATCTCCCTACAATACCCTAATGTATAGTGGAGACATCGACATATAGAGATATGCCACTGTTACATAAGAGAAAAAATATTGCTTAACCCCTTGGTCAAGACAAGATGTGTACAATCTTCAGAGCCAAAATAGACAAACATGCATATAACACATCATTCAGCACTGGTGAGAATCCTTCCCTACTGCAACCATAAATAAATGCATACGTTTTTTCCTAATTTCATTGCAGTCATTACGAAAAAAAAAATGTAAATGTATATTCACATCTCAGATGTAAAATTGGGCTGAGGAACAGGGGTGAGGAATGCCAATGGGTTAATTCATCCCTTCAATAGAGGATGAAATTCTGCAACCTGGCAGCCAGGTAACCAGAAAGAGTAGCATCTGCTTTTGGGGGTAAGACTAGGTAGGGAAAAATCATGGGGGAGATTACCTTTCACATAGAAGACACCAAATAATGCATGTCAGTCAGCCTGCACCCCAGTGCAGTATTACCCTGGTAACTACAGGATGGGAACTGTTACTCAATTAGCTGTGACTTTTAGTACCCATAGTACACACAAGGAAGCATGACTAGGGGTTTCACTGATGCATGGTGGTACCAAGAAAATTATTCCAAGGACACTGAGAAGCAGCAACATAGGATATACTGTCCCGGATGAATCACTGATATCCCTACATTTTTGGAAACCAGCATGCAACAAAACAAAGACTCCATGGCTCCAAAACGTCCTCAATTTCTTATACAGGCTATAAACACACAATAAGCACTCTCATGTTTAGACATTCTGCCACATACTTGAGTTTGTGGCATGCAGTCTCAGCTTGTCGAGCAGTCTCCTGCCATTTTGCAATTTCCTCCTTTAATGTAAAAATCTCCCTCTGCTGTTCAGCCTTCACTTCCTCCATCTAAGAGAAAATAAATCCTGCAATATATCAAATCTTTCACATGAGATCACTTTTGACATGGGAACTGCCTACACATTATTTTTGCAGTTGCTTTGAACTAGATACAAGGACTTCAAAACCATCTACAATACAACATCTCAAACTAAGCTGGAGTTAGTTTATTGCTAGGTTCAGATACTGTTCTAGTTCAGCATTTCTCAAACTGAAATGAAAGAATGGTCATGAAAGAATCACAGGAGATTCATGAAGATGCAGCAAATCTCCTTGCTTTTGCCAAACCAGATAATACACCTTGAGAATATTTTCTAAGTTTTTTGTGCCATTAATTCAAAGGAACTCCAGCAGAGGAACAGCACAGTAAGTCACGAAGGAGTTACTTGAAAATTAGGTAAAAGTAGAGCTGCTAATGCCAAGGAGTCTCAGCATGATGATAACTCAAAATTTTGCAGGATTTGAACAAAGCCTTATGAATGAATGAACAAGTACATGGATGTCACTTTTCCTACACTTCCTCACAAATGCTTCACCTTTTGGTACATGTTCATGCATAGACAACAAAGTGAGATTTTTGGGGATGGAGTGATGATTAAAATAATACACCATTTGGACAAAAAATTATAATGCAGTCTACACAAACTTCCAATATATTATTATATGCTCATTGTATTTTATTGACTTGGTAGAGCTGTTGGGTTGCAAGGAGTAACAGCAGCATTGCATCACAGCTGGAGTATATGTGCTGTGTCAGGTAAGTGTAGATGCATGTGGCATCCCACCTTGTGCAATCAGCATGGTGTACAAGTAGCCAGCATCTCTGAACATTGTTATATGAGCTCCATGCCTGCTTTTGTGTCAAAAAAGGTAAACAATCTTGGAAGTTTGCATAGAAGGCACTGCAATTTTCAGTTCAAACAGTCTAATTTTCTATCACTCATTCCTTCTCTCCTTGTTCCATTCCTATGCAGCTCAATTTAATTTTTTTTTTAAGGAATGGATGTTCCAAAAACTGAAATAATAAAAGCACCCTTGAACACTTCACTTCATAACCTCACCATTCAATCATATTTGGGGAAATATACATCCTGAAGCAAAAAAAAAAGAAGTTTCTGAAGGGAAGAAAAAGGCCATCACATTTGTTTTGAATGGCAACTGATCAGAATGGAAATCTGACATTTTTATTTTATATTTTCTTTTTGGGTGCACTAACTTCGTGTAACCAGTCCCATATCGTATTCAGACTACCAAATTTTTCTGTTCCAGTGTTTTTCCACTTTAAATCTAAAGCCCTGCTTTTTACTCATACCTTATGAACTGAAAAACCACTTGCAGGGTAGAAAGTAACTGAGGCAATGAGACTTCACAATACCCTCACTCTGTAACTCAATATGACCCAAAGAAGTGCAAAAATTGATGTTATGATGTACAAATTTTAACACTTCCAAAAAAATAAAGTGGAGCAGTAGCAAAGTTTTCAGATATTTCCCTCTACCATTACTTCCTCTCTGAGCTGAGCCAATTTTCAGCAATGAGATGATGTACTGTAGTTGTGACATTAATCTGTGTTATTGGCAATGGGCTAAAAGGTATGAACAATTTTTTTAAAGCTGAAAAAATTAAGTTTTGTCACACAGTGCAGTTTTTAATGGACAAAGTCTTAGGGACTTGTCTTTGAACAAGTGCTTTCAAGATGAGGAGATCTCTCTCTCTCTGATGATCCCTGATCTGGGAGACCCTTCACAGCTTTCATGTCTCAAATTATCCAACAGTTTGAAATCATAATCTTAGATGATCATCAATTGATGCTGAAGGGTATTTCAGAGGCTGTCAATTTCTTAACTGACTTCGTCCACCACATGTATACACATTGAATTGCAGATGTCCAGGTAAGTGCCCAGGTGGTCCAAACTTTAAAAGTCATTTCACCTACCTTCACCAAAAACTACATCACTGCATGGTGCTTTGACCATGTGTTTGCACCTGCAATTCAACATGTGCAATTTAATGCACAAGATGTGATTGACTGGCTCAGATGAGATATTATATCGACAATCTCTGAAATGTCTTTCAGGGTAGAAGTGAGTTCATATCAGGATTGGATCTAACTATCTCAATGCAAACCATAAGTCTGTTTCAGGAGTAAATGAAAAGAAGCTAATATCATTCAGATCAGTCTCATTTATACAAGGCATGTCAAAAACAGTGAGTTAATTGAATTTGGAAACAACATTGCAAGTGCCAAGATCTTGAGAATAATGTTGAGGTATCTGCAATGACAAAACAACCTTTTACTCTAACCACAAAATTTCTAGAATCTAGAATTCTTGGGAGTCCAAATGTTAGGAGCTTTTATCAAGTATGGTCTCCATTCACCCCAGCATACTACCATGCTTATTCTTAAAAGAAAAATATGTATATGGTGACATTACATTCAAAACCTAAATACCTACAACATTATTTCCAAGAGTTGGGTTTCATGTTCCAATACTTTCTACAATTCTTGAGACCCTGGAATATGAATATATTGTCTCACTCACATATTGTCTCTGTTTCTCACTGAAGCAAAAAAAAAAACTCAATTTTTCAAATTGTCTCACTGTTTCTAACATGCTCTGTACAACTACAAGGGAGACTGAGAAGTTCCTAGGCTTTCTAAAATATTAAGAATATGAGGTCTGATGATAAAGTTCCAGGACTGAATTTTTTGTGAGTCTGTCAATATACAAAAATTATTTTAATTCCACGAACTGATAAATTAGACTGCTGGGTAGTGTTATGTCAGTCCTCATCTAACTAGCATCTTGAATGAGAGTTTGGTTGGCAGTTTAACAACTCAGTGCATAAGGCCTCTGTCATATTCCCAGAGTGAAGCAATGCTACATCACATTTTGTCTCAAACTGGTCAACACAGCTGCACTAATCCATCAAATGTTGTACAAGTGCCTTGAGAAGTTCCTTGTTATGCTTCCTTGTTATGAAGTTCCTTGTTATGCTCCAATAATTTTGAATGACCTTCAAGGCCATTAGTGAGTATTGATCCATGATGATCCACCTCAACCCCAACTATCACAAACCATTCACCCATGGGATGGCTGAACCAGTCATTATTTTCAATGTCATTTCTACTGGCTGAAATCCTCGAAAACTATTCAAGATTCTTGACATATGACAAGTCAACTTGTCAAGACACTTCTTGCAACAATTGATGGATTGCTGCAGCTGTATTGACCAGTTTGAGACAAAATGTGATGAAGCATTGCTTCACTCTGGGAATATGACAGAGGCCTTATGCACTGGGTTGTTAAACTGCCAGCCAAACTCTCATTCAAGATGCTAGTTAGATGAGGACTGACATAACACTGCCCAGCAGTCTTAATCTATCAGTCCATGGAATTAAAATAATTTTTGTGATATTGACAGACTCACAAAAAAATCAGTCCTGGAACTTTGTCAGACCTCATACAACTGAACCTTTGGAATCTTACTCCACTTCCACCTTTTCATCACAATCAATCTCAACCAAACAATACACACATTATTATTGTTCCACTGGTTCTTGAATTCCAACAGCAATTCATTCTTCTGGAGTAACTTTCATCTAAAATATAAACAAAAAACTAGCACAAATTATCACCACTGCCGCAATGCACCATCTCAGCCAGAACATATGCTCAGTTCCAAGAGGAACTACCAGTTGGGTAAAAAGTATGAAAACTTTTAATTGCCAATTGTCTCTTAATGACTGGAAGAGGAATGCTTATTCCACAGCCAGACAACCACAACAGCCCTGAAAGAACTGTCTGGTAAATGGAAGCTGGGGATCAAAACATGAGAGAACAAAAAATTCATTTTGATCTCAAGGACTGGTACAGTATTAAGGCAACAGACCTCAAGGGAGCGACGCTTGATGACACGTGTGACCTCTTGCGACAGAGTATCGATCTGGGCTTTGAGGTCACCAACTTCCCTTGCAAGTGTATCTCTTTCCATTAGCAGGACCTGCTTCTCTCCGGAAAGAGATTTCAGATCCCTGCGATATCGAAGCCTCTCCTCCTCCCAAGCTGATTTTTCACCATCTAACCTTACCCGCTCATGCTCCACCTAAAACCAATCATCACAATTCAGAGATGAAAGCAAATGCAACCTTCATTTTAAACTACTTCAAGATGCAACTTGAGAGGTCAATTTGCCACTCGCATATGCATTTACTTGGAACTACTGTGAAATCTCATAACAATATGCATGAGATTAATGTATTTTGTAAAAAAAAAATCCTTGTAGATTTACTACATAAATAACTAATAAAATAACTAATAACATAAATAATAATAACAATAACATAAATAAAATAAAATAAAATAACATAAATAACTAAAAAAAAAATAACTAATAAATAACTACATAAATATTTACACATAGGGAGACATGCACCAGATTTGTTTAACTTTAAACTGATTTCGTTTTCATAATGAGTGTCAATGGGAATAGGTTTATCTCTGTTAAAACTAATTCCCATAGGGGACTATTGTGAAATCATATTAGTTTAGCTTAAACAGATTCATTGCACGTCACTCATCATGTACTTCATACTTACATACACTTCTGCTTAACAAAAATCTTAATTTCAAAGTTCCAAGAGTTACCTTTTAGTTATTGGAACAAGGTATTCCCCACTTTTGTACCAGCATGGTTATGCAGCCAATGGGACGCAGTAGTTTAACCCATTCAGCGTCCACCCAAATCGTTATCACGCAGGCAAGCACACAGGCGCATCCCGAGTACGTACTCGGGATGACAACGAAAGGATTAAGAACAATCAACAGTGAGGAACAACTCTAGCTATGACATCACAGTGTAGTGTGCACTGGTTTGACTGACTCAGTTTGCACAGCATTGTCCTCAAGAGTGGTTGGCAAGGTTGTGCTTATTATTCTTTACTTATATGCCATATATTCATTATTTTTGTGTATCTACTGTTTCACTGTCTTTTCACGCACTTCAGATTAAAGTAGCAGTATAAGGTTGGAAAATACAGGGTCCCCACAAATATGTTGTAATAAGTTTTCACTGTAGTCCTAGTTGCATAATTATAATAATTAAAAGTAAACCTTAAACTCATTTGTATGGTTCAAGGGAAAAATTAGGTGCTCCTGCTCAATTAGCTTGATTTTAATGAATCTCACATTAAGATCATGGTAATTGTCAGGCCATGCATTATTGCTGATTATATCTGTAAAATACAATCAGTGGCATAATTGAGTATACTACCATGACAGACCCTTGGTATACTACCATGACAGACCCTTGGTATACTACCATGACAGACCCTTGGTATACTACCATGACAGGCTATTCTCTAGAATGAGTGGGCAGTTTCCCATACTTGGACCCTTGCTTAATGAAACTCAGAGATGAAGGAGACTTGATGGCTACTGAACCTTTCCCAAACTCTATGGCTAAAGTTTACTTCCATGGACTCTTCCTCATTGCTATGCACTTATGAAAATGATGTAATTTAGAAAATCAAGTCCACTATCTCCAGAGGATGTGCATAAAACCATGGTTTTGCTTTCTTTTGGTATCAGCAAGCAATATACATTCACACATAATTGTTACCTTTCTCTTATTTTATTTGTTTCTGCTTGAAAATATAGTTAATATGATCTGATTAAAATATGAAGAGTTTAAAAAAAGGAATACAAATAAGCAAAAAGGAAAATGAAGAGATTTGCAAAAATGATTCATCAAACCTTTCTTTCAGCAGTCTCAGCCTGATAGGTTTTGAAGTCAGCTTCTTTCATGGCCATGGTAAGACGAGATCTCAAATCCTCATTTTCCTTCTCAAGTCGCTTCAGCATATCCTTCCCTTTCTTGTCCTCCCCAATCATCCTCTCCTGAAGAAAAAAAAAAAGAGCTAGTTAAAACTTGCTGAACAAGAGGATCTGAGGAGAAAGGAAACAAGGAACTCAAAGCACTAACAGCAAGAGTCTGAACTGCAGCATCCACAGTTAAATTGGTTGAGTCCAACTCTCCAAAATCAGCCAGTTCCATTGCTATATAGAGTGAGCCAAACTGAGGCTTTCCCTGTGAATATCGCTTCAGAGGGACTGAGACTGCAAGCACATTCACAATGCACTCTCTATCATCTCTCTGCACAGACAAAAAAGGAATCTTGAAGAGACAAAACTTTTGAAGAGCCTAAAAAATAAAAATAAACAAGGGCAGAACTCACTTTGACTTTGGTTGCTTCTGTCTGAAGGAGCTGGCCCAGTCGAACTTTCCCAAGTCCCAGGAGACGTCCTGAGGGATTCTTAATACGAATGACCAGGGGATGATGATGACAAACATGAACTAAGTTACAGGTAAGGGTCACAATTGAAAAAAGAACTGCACGCTCCTCAAAGATGTATCGCTCCATTCTCTTCACAGCTTTTAACCTTGTCATCACTGGTGCTGTTCCATGGATCAGTGGGTAGAAAAAATCCAAATTCAGGGAATCCAAATCAGAATCTGAAGTCATCTCAAGGGCACGGAACTCCAGACGCAGTTGAAACCGATGCAACGAGTCTGTAGGCACAGGTTTCAAGTCCATTCTTGAAGACACTTGCTTTTGAAAAGAATGAGGATATTGTTCCTGGAGGGCACCAGATACCAGTGGATTCCATCCTCTGGTCTCACGTACAGGTACTTCTTCTACTTTCAGCAAAACCTTCACTAGGACTTCTGGTCCTTCCCTGGCATCTTCAGGAATTGTGAAATTATGAAGGAGGGTGTGAAATTGACAAGTGTGTGACTTTTCAAGTCCATCCTGCCATGATGTGGTGTTGAAGCAATCTCTGAGATCTTCAAGATCAAATTCTGCCACTGCCAAGCAGACAGTGGAGAAAGCTAGGTAGATGCTGAGTCTTTGGTGAAGTGAGAGCAACTCTTGAAATGAATCCAGAGAAGCATGGAATCGTAGAGATCTTCTGCCTTTGAATGTTGATGGATCACTGAAGTTCCCCCTAAACTCATGAATCCCAACAAAGGGAACAAACAAGTAGAAGCCAGAGGGATCTGGCTGGGGTAGGTCAGATGGAATCAGCTAGAAAGACAACAGAGTTACCATGAAATAGTTCATCCAAGGATGGAAAATCTAATACCAAATGCTGACTCACCACATCAAGGTTCCTTGCTCCTTCCAGGGAGATTATAAAATTTATAATGGGGTCAGATGCAGATGACACATCTGATTCATATAAACTTGTTTCCACGCTTTGAATGAAACTAAGTTGAGGTGGAACCTTTGACTGAAGGTTCCGATAAACACTTCCCACTGTTTCCAGGCTCATCTCACTCTCCTGAAACTAGGCATATTTCCATACAAGACAAAGAACAAAAAAACGTAATGCACTCCTTAACCCTTTCAGACCTGAATTAAGGCTGCCATCAGAATAATATCATTTTTTGCATTTTTGAGCTTTTTCTTGATTGTAATTGAAATTTTCATTGTTGTTTTCATATTTTGTATAAATTTACCATATCACACCTATATTATACTGTATATTAAACATTTAATTAAATAACTGAAGATTACAAAACTAATGGGTGAAAGAAAGCCTCTGATAGAACTGAGTCATGCATAATTGCACCCATTGTAGTGTAATATGGAGCGCAAAGTCACGAGAATCCTAAGAAATTGCCATAGACACAATGCAAATGCAATGTCCATTGGAATGGACGCCAGGTCTGAAAGGGTTAAAGTGACATTTGTACAGAGTGCTCCTGAAATCACTTTAGATGTAAAGGCAGCTATGAAGTGAACACTGAGTGATCTAAGATGAGGAAAATCAAATGATGGGCCAACTTTGCCATGCAGATACTGAAATGCATTAAAAAAAAAAAAAAACCAAGTGCAATGCACAACCATTGTCAAGTGTCCTGTAACCATAGTTGTGAATACAGTAATGCTTCAGTTAGGGTTTCATTGGTGGTTAGGGTGGTCTAGAGGCACAGCAGAATATTTCACCATTCTCCTGTGGGTAGCATTTATTTATTGAGACAAATCTCCTGACATGGTTGGGCTTCCAAATTATGGATGTCCAGGGTTTCACAAGAGATATGTGCCTTCAATTAACAGCAGAGCCAAAAGTCCAGCACAAATGAACTACGAAGCAAACTGCAACCTGCAGTTTGGTTCAAAGTGTCATCTAACTGTCACTGGGGTGGCACACCTGCCATGGTAGGTGTGCCACCCCAGTGACAGGTAGATCCTACACAGAAAACAGGTGAGTTACCTGTCAGCAGAGAAAGAACCCACAGTCACCAAGACTTGATACCTGGCCTCCCAGGTGTTACTTGGAAGCCTGAAGCATTCACCCACTGAACCTGGTGATTCAAAGTTCTGACATGGTCAGTCAGAGTGATGATCACCTTAACATCCCATACAAAATGTTGGGTTGCCATTACAAATCCATCTTTACTCATGCCAGGAACTGGAGAGAAAAGGTACCACAGGGATGAATCTCTGGCCTGTAATTTGTGTATAAGTTACTGCCCATAAGAGATGTGAAGCACGTGTGCATAGTTCTTCAAATATTGTTCATGGAAGTCTGGTGTTACAAGACACATAGTACTGGAGGAACAAAGATGATCATGCAGTGAATTTCCTCCTATGTATGTAGCACTTCAGCAATAACATAAATGGGTGTTCATGTGCAACCCCTCCTTGGTGCATTGACAACACTGTTGGTCCAGAGGAATTTGCTGGTAAGGTTCTAGTAAGGCTGCACCTGTGCATGACCCCCTCATATAGATTGTGTTGCAGAAGGGATGCTCTCAGCACATCACTATTCCTCCAATTCCAGTACCACAGGCCCATGAGCTTAATATGTTGCAATAACATTATGAAGATGCTCTCTTGAGATGCTGCCTCATGCAGTTCTTGGACTGTTGGCAGTGGTTTTGCGAGGTAACACCACACATTGATGGTCATGTGCATCAGTATACAATTGGTCCAACACCTGACTTTTTCCTACTATATCTCACTTAATTTGTGCTCCACCCCAGATAACATGCAAAATTGGCCCAATGTGAGCCCAATATGGGCATATCCCCATGTTGAAAACTGCAGAACTGCAGGAGGAAAACTTTAAAATGTTGAAGTTCTCTTCCAGGCAACTACAAGGGCTGGCTGAAAAATAGTTCTCTGCCAAAATAGGAAGGGGATAGGCAAGGGGAGAGTCGTGTATATACATTGTAGCTTAACATCTTGTGATTACGTGTACACAGTTTCATGACAATACACTCAGCGATTCATTTTAAAACAAATCATGCTGCAGTGGACATCCTGACTCAGCCACAACAGGGGAAAACAAAAACAGACGCTGTGCAATGACCTGTGTAGTTATTCGACTATTGCCCATGATGATATTGTGACCAGCTTTAATGTTTTCCCCTATTGAGACTGACGCAGGATGTCCACTGCGGGGTTCGTCTTCCAACCTCTCTCTCTTCCACATTTGAAATTTACTTCCCACTTTTTCAGTCAAATAACTCAGTGCATCATTTCCCAACGTCTGCTGCATATCCGCATGGATGTCTTTTGCACCTAAGCCCTTCAGAAGATGGTATCGAATCACAGCCCAGTACTCAAATTTCTCCAGGTCGACTAATGGCTACACGAGTACTCACAATCATTTGTTGAAAATGAACTGCTGCGAGTATTGCCATGAAACTGTGTATATATAATCACAAGATGTTAAGCTACAACGTATTTACTGTATGTCGCATGCAAGTTGTCCCTGCCGAGCAAGTTAAACTCGCATGGTAATTCATCGTGCAAGTTGATCTTGCATGGCCAAATCATCCTGGGTTAACTTGAACAATCCACTACGGCGTGCAGGGCAAACTTGCATGGGCACACCCTTGTTCATGTTAACCCAGATTGCACATTTTCATGCAAGTCCAGAGAAGCATTTCATCTCGGCCAAAATAATGATCATATGCCTTCGGCAACCTACACTTGGTTTATTTTCGCGCCAGCTTGTCAAACATCATATGAATTGGTTGATCACCCTTTATGAATAAAATGAAGAAACTGCTTCATGTCAAATTGTCCGTGATTAAAGAATCTGCAACGACTTTGTTAATGCCTGCATTCAAGCCTTTCTGTTAAGCACACCTTTTTGATTTCCATTCATTTGTTGGAAAGTGCCCATGACACGTGGCATCGATAGTTGCACTGGGTGTTATTGGCTATGCACTTGCATCTTTTGTTTGTTTTTGTTTTAGATGCTTCGTTCGCAGTGGGGTATTTTAAGGGGGGGAGGGGGTAGTTGCCCCCCTGGGACAGAGTCTTGGAGGCAATAATTTTCCCCCGATATCGCTCTGGTGGGGTTCGGCCGCCCCCCCCCCCCCCCCCCCCCCCCCCCCCCCCCCCCCCCCCCCCCCCCCATGGGGGGGTTCGGCCCCCCCCCCCCCCCCCCCCGCTGTTGCCCTGCCAAAATACGCCACTGATCGTTTGACTTCCTCACAAGCTTCTCTTCATCCCTCGATAACTAGGACGTCCTAATGCTTGAAGATGGTCTTTCCGTGCTCCAGCCGGGCTTTCTTCTTTGATATTTGCAGCCTTGACCTCCGCGACGAACCTCTCGTACCTATCTATCGGGAACATTGAGTTGTTGGGAGATAATCATATGAACTAGGCTTTCGTGCCCCTTATAAAGAATTTGAAGGCGGGTTAATCAGACGAAAGCCACTGGAGCTGTTGAGGAACGAGAACGTTCACTCTCACTTGTATCGCACTGAACAAGGTGAGAGAATATGGTTGACAGCGAAAGGATGAAGGCACTTACCCCCCTCCCCCCTTATCGTTTTCCCAATGCCAGGCGCACTACATGTATTCTCGATTTAAAAATTCGTCTAACTGTATATCCTTAGGGGTTTAGATATCCCTCCTGAACTTGCACAAAAGTCCGTCGTGTGGGTTAACATGCATAAGGAAAACCAGACGGGTTCAAGTTGCACGGTATATTTTATGTAAGTTCAACTAGCACGGAAAGGTCAACTTGCATATGACATATATAAGACACTCCCCTTGCCTATCCCCTTCCTACTTAGACCGAAAACTTTTCCACCACCCCTCTCGTAGATGGTGGTGTGGCTCATGCTCATCACACAGTACAAAAAATTAACCTTCCCTTTTTCCCTGGAATCATCCCTCACAGGAGTGTGTTCAGTACTTTGACATATGTCTCGCATAATCACGTAAAAATTTTAAAAGGCTGACACTTAATCATTTGTTACCCACACAATCAAGACATTTTCATGGAGTCCAGGCCATGAACAAGCTCATTATTCCTTATAATAACCCTTTTGTAAAGCTGGGTGACCTTATTCAAAAAGGAGTTTTAAAAACGTTGATAGCGTCCATAAACTCTATCCACTGCCTCCTCATAATGATGGATATATGAGGAAATAAAGGACTGATTTCATGGATATTTCATAGAGCTGTAAGGGGTGGACCTTTCTTTGACATGTACTATAGTTAGTACATTCAGTGGAAGGTTAACTCCTGAACTGTCCTGTCTCCTGCCCAGTGGCGGCTCGTGGGGTAAAAAACTGAGTAGCAGCAGTGGCGCTTACGGTAGGGGGGTGCCCCCCCCCCCCCTCTGATTGTAGCAGGCACATATTCGCCCCTCTCTCTACATCGCTNGTAGCAGGCACATATTCGCCCCTCTCTCTACATCGCTCCCCCCCCCCCCCCCCTTCCCTTCTTGGCTACGGGTTTGACATAAAATTTAGGATTTTTGCATTCAATAATTGTAAATCTATTTCAATCAGAACTAGCCATCAAGGAAATTGCTTGCATCTAACAGGAAAAGTTACGAACATTTAGGCCTTCGATTATACCATTGGGAGACACCCCAGGGATGCAGATGACTGTCAGTTTTAACAATACTTAACAATGCACAAGGAAACCGTGCCTCTTCCAGGAGAGACCATCAACCATATTGGGGCAAGCAAGGGGAGCTGGGACCCTGGGACTGATAAAAGCTTGTCCGGAATGATTCCTTATTCAATCTGTATGAAAATACTGTAGAGTAGGTCCGATCAGATGTGACAACAATCGAGGCTTCAACGCGCAAGTGCTTCCGAGCGGAGGGCGCGAGTAAGCGACTCTCATCCTTATCTTCCTGCGCAAGGAGTAACAACGCAACGTAAGCAAGTCTACCCTGTCTCATTCCAGGACTACGGTTCTCGTCCATCTCTCCCTCTACTCGTTCCTGCATTGGATTCATGGAGATTTGAGCCTAGCCAGCGTAGGCTGGCAACTCCGTACCTACTCTGAACACAACCTAATTATACTTTTATATTGCAAGGGAAAAAAGTATTTCCAGCTGTGTTAATCGAAGAATAAATTAGCAAATAATAGTTTGAGAACTCTGATTTTAAACTGGGTAGGCACTGCCTACCCTGACGAGCCGCCACTGTCCACTATCCAGGGTAAAGACATGCATGGCAGGCGGTTGTACAGTCGACTCCGTTTAATGGAATACTCAAGGGATCAGCGAACTTTTTACTCTATAATCCCGAGTATTCCAATAACCAAAACAACCGTACTGTACTTCATTTTCGAACTTCAGGCAACTTTTAAAATGTATATACTGCAGTACTGCCCCCGTATTTGCATATTCGCCACTTTTAAGAATGAGTTTCACGCATTATATTATTTTGCTACTTTGTTTTTATTGATCTTGGAAACTTGAGGCTGAGAGATCCCAAACGATCGAGCCTATTCAGCTTGCGTCTTCTTTTCGTCCTGATGGGCATTCAGAGCTGCGATTTTTTCGAACAAGCTGAGGTCTTTCCTTCTCCCCATGCTCAATTCGGAACGTGCAGATCTGATGCCTATAGGCTCAATTTATAGTTCAGGTAAACTTTCTTTCACTTTCACCTGAAAAGGGCAAGCTTATTTGCCTCTTTTGTGCATCAGCAGCCTATATTTACACCCCGATTTCCTGGAAAGAGTGCGCTTGCCTTCCCTCCTGCCCTCGCCCTCGGTTCATGGAAGAGTCAGAGTTCATGGAAGAGTTCATGGGAACTCGTGACCTTGGTTCTACGAAGCGGGAGGATGGGACTGGGGTAAGGGCCGAAGGAGACTTTTCAAAAACACGAGAATTTCTTTTTAAAGTAAACCGAATAAATTATTCCATGTTTCAGAAAAGTTTTATTCCTCTAAGCAGGTTATTAAATTAACCGTATTCTTTAAGCGATGTTTTTCATAATGTACCTTATGGTTGAAAAATCGGGGATACAATGGTATTCCATTAAGCGGAGTATTCAATTAAGCGACATTCGATTATACAGAGTCGAAAGTACTTAGTGCAGGCTCTGTACTGCAGATGGGAATGCCTCCACTGGGTAAGGAATTCAAGTATACGGTATGAAATGATGATAGTCAATATAAAGCAAACACCAGCTACTGGGGTAAGTGGGTTGGTTATATGTTGCACTAAAACTTACTGCCAACGTTGGCCCCACGTTGACCCAGCAGTCACTTTTACGTGGGACATGCAAGAATAACCTACAGTGGGCAAACGTGTCTGGTGTTGGAATACATTGGGTCAACGTAGGTCCCATGAAAAATGTTACCTGGGACAGCTGCTTGAACAGTAAGAGTCATTTTTGGAACACCATCTATATGAGATACACAATTCACCATAATGTAGACAGACTTCACTTTCAGAGGGATTGCCAGTGAGGAGAAATTTAAAGGCAAGCCAATTTTTGGCTACCCCTGGCCAACAAAAAAATGTCAATAGAGCCACTAAACAACAATATTGGAGCAGAATAAATGAACAGCAGGATGGAGATAATAGCACCAAACTAGCATATGTATTGATTGAACAATGGCAAATAATTATACCCCAACACATTACTTTCAAAAAATAAATAGAACAGAGGGACATTTTTTTCTCAATGGCACCATTTACTTCACAGTCTTGGATAAACAATTGAGATGTCTCTTCCCAACAAGACTTATAGTACATTCCATGGGAGTATCAGTCATTTGAGATGAAATTTGGCTTTGTTAAATAAGGCTTATTATTTGCAGGAGGTGTTAGGAATCTCAAGATATTGCAAGGATACATTTGTTTGAGCTCATGGCATATTCAGGAGGATATGATAGCCTGCTGGACCTATCTCGCATAGAAAGCCAGGAGACACAAGAGAGTAATGAGTAATTGAGTAAAATTCTAAATACTTTTAAACTTACATACTTTGAAACCATAACATTCCATGAAAAAATTTCATGCATGACAGTTCTAAAACAAAAACTTCTGCTTGCAAGGAAATTATGCTTGAGTTCCTTCCTTAGCACTCTATATACCTCTCAATCATAAGTTTGAGAGGTACAAAGCATTAGCTGCATCAAGGCCTTTCACTAAAGTCATTTATATTTAGAAGGGAAATTTTCTGACAGCAGCACATCCTGGCTATAGTTCACATTGAAAATCAAAGGAAAACTGAATGACTGACCAAGCCACTGAATCAGTGGGTTGATCTATGCTCTGAGCTGTGACAAGAAATAGCAGTGAAAATTATTCCAGGGAGATCTAGGTTTGACTTTGATTTCTTGACTGAAGAGATAATTCTCACATACTCCTTTTAAATTTATATATGGCATTTCCTGGACATTTGGCTGTCAGAAAAAAAGTAACCAAATTAACTAATATTGACTTGAGAAAGTATGTGATAAATGTGAAATGAAAACTGTCTCATGCAACATCCTATTTTGCATAAAATTATATTCATTCAACTAAGGAATGGAATAAGAGGGCCTGAAAATTAAAAATTTTTTTATAATTTATGCTTTTATGCATGGAATACCTTTGGCTTTTTCACAAAACTGGAACATCCATCTCCTCCTCCTTTGGCTAGAACTTGAACACAAAACCCCTGGAACTCACTGTATGCCTATGTCTTTAGTGAAAGGGGCATATCGACATCTACCATGTCATTGGTTTTGACTTGTCAGAAACAGAGTTTCGTAGTCACTGAATTCATAAAGGGGGGGGGGGGGAAATTAACCTTTTCTCACTTAATTATGTTTGTGCCAATAAAAATGTGCTCATACTATTTCAAGGACAAATAATGTTATGTCTGATTGAAAGCAATTTGCTGAAGGAATTATAACAAGCACTCTTCACACATTTTTTGCAGTACAAGGTTAAATATTGCCTTTTTTTTCTTTCATGTGTATAATCTTCCATTATAAGACAGGATAGATATCCTTCAAGAATTGGCTGTGATAAATTGGACAGTGGTGGGTTAGACTGACAGCAGTTGTGGAAGCAGAAGGCACAATAAGCAATGTTTCTGATAATTTTAGGCAATTTAAATATTGCAGCATTATTTATGGGTCTCCCAAGTTTAAAAAAAAAATTCCTAAAAAAAATATAAATGCAATGTTTATCCTAGCATGTTAGCATCATAACCTGCTAACAACTGCAATTTTTCAATTTTTCAACTGGCACCATGAAAATTATTGTGTAAGACCTATTTGTCATTTTTCCTATAAATAAATTGCATTAGATCAGAGAAGGGTGGTACAATATCCTCAAAATTGTATGAGCATGTCTTAATTACTAATGTAGCAATCAAATGAAAAAGGGTAAAGTATTTTTTGATTCAACCAGTAGAATCATGTGCAACATTTGACTCCAGTGACACAAAAAGAGAAGCTTATGACTGGAAATCAAAGAATTGATTCTCCGAAAAATAAGGCAAAAGTGCATCAGTAGGCCTAAATTCTTTGTTTTTCCATAACAAAATAACTGAATATAACCAAACTCACACAATGCATGGCCACATGCAAATAGTAAATGTCTATATCTTCTTGGAATTTTTTTTTTATCAGCTCAAACATACCACCTTTATGCCATTGCTATATATGGGAGATAAGGCCTGGTCAGCATCTCCTCAAGGAATTACCATGAGCTAAACAAGAATGCACCCCATGTAGACTCACACTCCCCACACTCATGACAAGAGATATTTGACAGAGCCTAATTTCACTCCAACCACTTCACTCCACTTAAAAATGACCAGAAGTTTCATCAATTCAATCACTGAACTAAGATACATCTCAATGAGAAGGTAGAGAAGGCAACTGGGATTTTTGGGGGAGTGAAGATGCTGAAGGAGCAGACTGACTCTTCATGGTCAACTCTGTTGACTTTATCTTCCAACTGTTCCCTGCCAGGATATCTCGAACCAAGCCAAAGATTTGCTCAAAGATTCCACAAACTCTTCCACTTGTTTGGAGTGTGCCACAGCACATGACTTTGATGAGTCCATGAGGGCTCTGAGCACCTCCAATTCCCCCTGGGCTCATATTTGGATTCATTAGAAGATTATGAGACACAACTGCATTTAGAAGGCAAGCTGAAACCTGCTCACACCCATAGCATTCTTCCTGGTGCACAAGATTATCTGACTGGTCAAAAACTCGCAGTCTCATGCTGGCATCATCAAAGAAATGTTGCTTCCCAAATTCCTCCAATGGGTGCAATGTGAGTGTCAGAGGAGATTTTTGTTCTGCCAGGACAGACAGCTTCCTTGCCACAGTTCCATTCAAAAGGTCATAGTACCATTGAGCAAAGGCTGAAGCAAATTCTCTTACATCAGGAGGCTCACCCCCATGTTGAGTGCCAGAATCTATGGGATCAACTGCCTACAAATAGATATTAGGCATTTCAACTCCCTCACATTCCCTTACACTTTTACAAAATGTGGTATATGTATAGCTTACTTGAGCTGCAGGCTCTTCATCTCCCCTTGAAAGCTGTTCATCAGCCTCACTATCCCTCGTATCAGATCCCCAATATTTGAGGATGGCAAAAATTAATGGAACCTTTCCTCCTGTGGCATCAAATGGGATTCCCATCTTCAACAAGTAAGTCAGGAGGAGCTTATAAGTGATCTTTTGCCGCCTCAACAACTTCAGTGGCTGATCTGTGGCAAGGATGATGGCATCTATTGCCTCTACAGGAGGAAAATCAAATACATCATAATTCTGACAAATCTTGATTGGATATGTGGCTTTTGAAAGGAGCAAACTACAGGATAATTAAAATGTTGCACAACCCAGAAAATCATTTTTGTATGAGAACTGAGTGGCACTTGTGCCAAATTTTTATAGGAAAGTAGTTAACCCCTCAAGCCAGTAATTTTACTCTGAGTACTGCTGCTGACTAATGCACAAGGCTGAGTGCATGTACTCAGGATGTCAGCTTGAGGAGTTAAGCATGTATACAGGGTGGCCCAAAAATACATATGATTTTGACAAATCAAATTTTTTCGCAACGAAATATTTTGCCAGATTTTCAAATGTATATGTATTTTGTATATATTTTTTTCCTTTCAAATGCTACTAAAAAATTTTGACTTCTTTTGCTCTTCCATATTTTTCAGACATGAAAGGGCTCCGAATATTTTGAATAAAGGATTTGATTTTTCGAAATTGTATGCATTTTTGGGCCACCCTATAGCATATACACAGCTTATAAAGTTGAAAGTGGTCATGACATCCTTGTACACAAAAATATGCAAGGCAGCATATTCACTGACATTACTAGAGGGTGTCCTGGGGTATTGCTGCAATAATCTGTGATATTGTCTTGCACAGTGTGCAGATCATATGTAAGGAACATAATAATATACATACATTCAAAATTTTTCATACCCTTGCCAAGCAACTGCCCTGAGTGAGGTACAGCAAACTCTCGTTAATCCGAATGCCAGTAATCTGGATCTTCAGTTAATTTGGACATGAAGAATATTCCTAGCAGAAGTCCCATAGAACCAACAATACAATTCTCCTTTTAATCCAGACACTGTTATTTCATATTTTTCATTTATCCAGAAGAATTTTCTCATCCCCTAAGCTATTCTCCCCCATTAATCTGGACTTTCCAGAAAAATGCAGATGATACATCAGAAAATAATAGATTTCCCTGTCATTTTCCCATGTCTTCACTCTCCCTCACACTTGGATTTAAAATAAATAAATAAAAAGAGAAAACGTTGGATCTCCCCAATTTCCTGGAATTGAGTTACTTCATTGAGACTTTTACGCTTCATTGTCATGTCACTCATCAGCTCTCAGTCTAACCTGTTCTTGCCATTAGAGGCATGAGAAGTTTCTTACCTCCCATTATGAGTAAGTGTTCTCGGAGTGATCCTGCACGGGAGGAGGAATTGGAAGTTCTGAAGTCATCATACTTAGACCTCATCCATGCCAAAAGTTAGTTACCAGTTAGTTTTCTATGCCAGATTTTCAATGCTCTGGGAGATTCCTTTAAAAGGTTTCTTTCAAAAATCTTAGTTTGCAACATTCTCTAATCATATATCCAGGAAAATTTTCTGGTGTGGACTAGGCCTTAGTTGAAAAATAAGTTTGGTAGCATGTGATTTGAATATTCCAACATCAACAGTGTTGGATATAGGATATATAGAGGGGTCACGAAGAACATGAACAGGGTGCTGTCCTAGCTGGTGTCCCTCTCATGGAAATGAATGTGAAGTGCACGCTTCAAGGATGCATGAATTAGAGCAAAATAAAACTTGGAATTTCTTCTACGTGACAAATCAAAAGAACAGCATCCAAGTTTTCATATTCCCATTAAAAACAATGAAGGTCTTCTTTGCACATATTAACTGCAGTTTTCTTCTCCAGGAAAAAAGAAGAAAAATGAATGGTCACTTGGGCAGGTACTCTATAATTCGGATGAGTCGGTAATCCAGACAAAAATACCAGTCCCCTCATTTCCAGATTAATGAGAGTTGACTGTATATTTGTTTTCAGCAAGGCCTTTCCTTCAGTTGTGAACACAAAAACCTCTGAATACACCCACCCAGGTTCAAGTCCAGAAACCACCCATTCTTTTTTCCCTGTTTTCTCATTTTTCCCAAATTTACCAGCAAAAGAGTGAGAGATCTTGAATGGGTTAGATTCTGGTTCACTCACAGTTTCTGCCAACTAAGGAAGGTGGCTCTAGGACTGTCAAATTATGGAAAATGGCTTTATATTAAAGGAAAAGTCATACTTCGTGGGAAGGGCTACTGATGGATCTAGAGGGAACTACACAATGGCTCCTGTTGACAGAAATAAGACCAAAAAAAAACATTTACTCCAGATATGATTCTAACAACTTACATACATAAAAAATATCATCCTTCCAATTTGGGCCATAAAAATACTTTAACCACATACATTATATTACCAAAAGTATTGGGAAAACTTCCCTCTGTCAATAACAGATTGTCCCAATGGTCACATGGCAGAGGGCATTACGATTGTCCAAAACTATATAAAGGTAGTCTGCAATCCATTACATTCAGTGTTTGCCAGTATGATGGGTGGATCAGAGCTGATGGAATTTGAATGTGGAGTGATAGTTGTCATATCATCCTTTGTTCCAATACTTTTGGTAATATAGTGCAAGGCTTTACCAGCAAAAGGTCAACATTGCTGGCCAGGGAAGGGGAAACCATAGGTCAGCTACAAATGGGAATTTTTAGAGCATCTAAAGTTATTACAACTTGAAGAATATATATTAAGTACCCTTCCAGCAACTGGAATTTTCTTATTACTATACTTTCAGTGCTCAACAAGCATAACCTCTTGCCTTAATAGCTCAAATTGGGAAACCACCAATACCTTCCTCATTGCCACAGCTGCTACAGCAGCATAGCTGGTATGCTGACCAACCACAGACCTGCTTTAATTTCCACAAGCATTCTTTTTCTCCCTCTCTCATATCCCAGGGCCCAGAACAATGACTTCGAGATTTTTTTCTGCTTCACCATCAGGCAGTACCTAGTCCTGTGTCAATTTCACCACACAAAGCCAATGCAGGAATGGGGGACTGTCTAGCAAGTGGGAGTGAGAGAATTCTGTTCTGCATAAGCCCTAGGTTCCCCTCATCCTCATTGTCTTTGGAGGATCTTTTCCCTCCTTCCTATCCCTATATTATATGAATGAAGGATGCTGACTTCATGTAAGAACAATGAGGGATGTAATGCACAGAGTACAACCATGAATGCCAACACACTCCAATTTCTCAGATCAGTGAAATGTAATCAATGTAAAATTTGTCACTCTTTAACTCACCCTTCTTAAACCTATATATGATGCAGTTCATCAAACTGTTAAGAAAAACATGTGCTTGAGCCCAAAATTTCCCATCAATTATGAATTCTTCCATGTAAACTAAATAGAGTTGTGGCTCTGGGAAGGATAAACTTGGGTTAGGTCCATGGGGGAATTGACAACAGAGGGAGGTGAAAAAAAGAACTGAAATAGAGGAGGAGCAAAACCAACATTCAAGAACAGGTGGGAAAGGCTTTTCCACAAGCTTTTCAAGAGGTGGGAGCAGTATTCTAATAATTCTTGCAGTCAAATTTTTTATGTACAACATAAGCAGACTCAAGTCCATCAGTGAGGGGAGCAGTGGTGGTTCACCCATGATCTCTTCCTTTTTCCGGTTCCATATGTATAACTTCCATCAGGCCTAAGTATGCATGGAACTGATAATCACCCCACCCCCTCCTAACAATACATTGAGGTCCTTCATTTCTATTCTCCTCATATTAGGCTTTTATTTTGTACATCTTTTAATATTCTTTCCCATCTTGTCATTCATTGGAGCTTCTGGCCCCTTCTGATAGGAAGTTTTCTACTGGTCAGATTATCCTTTTCAATCCTGAGATCCAGCTGACAAAACTGCAGGAACCTTATCACAACCCCTTACCCACAACTACAACCAGACAAGGCTTAAATCTGACAGACAAAGGTTAAAAAGACAAGGAGAAATGTGATGGAATAGCAGTAGAAAGTGGTGACAGCATGTTGCCTCACTTCTTTCCAATGACATGTTTATATCATCACTATACAAGGCACAGCAGGGGCTGTCTTGAAGGCAAATGAACCCATCTTACTGGTACAGAATAAATGGGTTAAATTAGGTCACAACGCAGCCCTTCCACGCCAGAGAAGTTCCACGCCAAAAATCACTAAGCTGCCTTAGCTGTATATACGGCCAACCTACTATAGGAAGAGAGCTAACCTGTGACGGTTTCTGGGACGACACATCCAGTGGCCGTCCTTGTCAAACTGAGTAGATCATCAGGAGGAAGTAGTTCGAGTAGCTCTTGCATTCCTTGCTTCTCTTTTGAAGTAAGCATTAGGGTAATGTAATTCAGACAGATGCCGTGACGGGAAAATCCAACGGGGAACAGACCTCTCTGCAAGGTCTACCTCTGCACCTGCAGGAGAAGGGGGGACAAGAATCTCCTGGAACCATAGACAGCATGAGAAAGCGTGCGCTATTGTGGACCGCCACATTGAAACAGGGTTGCGAGAAGGTCGCCTGGCGCTCCTGCTCCGCTGGATTTCCTTGCTTTGGGCTCGAGGTGAAGGAAACTGAATTGTGAAATTGCTGGCCCGACTTAGCCCTGATTTAGTACTTGCTCGATCAATGTCGGTCATTAGCCAGAGACATACAGTAATTCGCCTGGACGGCGCCGTGGGTCAATAGACTTAAAAATTTTAAAAACCAATACAAAGTGATATTGTGCCTGTGCTCCATCTTTGCTTCATGTAGTTTTCCTCATGACTTATTGGAACTCGGTGCACTGGACCTAATTTGCAACAGAAAAGCAAACGGTCCATCAACAACAGCATCAAAGATATGCCTGTATTCGAAAATATGCTTCGGGGAAAAGTATCCTTCACACCTGGAAGAGCGAGGGGAGAAGAGGGCATTAATCCTTTGTCAGTCGTGCATATGCGTGCACAGTGGGAGGGGGGGGGGGGACAGGTGAGCGGGTCGGTAAAGCTTGGTTTCGTGGCAACGGCAAAAATCCACTCGCTCTGCTTGTAGGCGAATGGCGGCGGTTGCTAAGCAATAGGGTATTATACCTTGCCCAATCCTGAGGGGCTGGGTGAAAACGTTCCTTTCTTTCTCCTCCCTCCCCCCCTTCCAAACCTCAGAGAACTTGGTGGGCCTACGAGCGGGCGACCACGGTTCCATACCAACCAGAAAGAGGCGAGGCGTTTATTCGAAGAACCGCATCGGTGAAGGCCAGAACCGCATCGGTGAAGGCCAAAACCGAGTCGAGGATTCTCGCAATAATTGTCCCAGCCGAATTGGGTTTCCCCATGTTATAGGTTACTTCCATCTTAAACGGAAGGAGAGATAGCTGGGATTCCTGAGTAAAGGTGCATTCATGGACCTAATTAAGACAAAGTTGACTGGACTTCATGACACGTGAAGTTGACAAGCTCAGGAGAATTGGGAAGGGGAAGGAATTTGGTGGATTTCAGTTACCTTAACCAGAAACACATTGCATTCGAAGCTTCAAAGCTGCAGTAAGGATTTTGAAATATGTATCACCTTTTTTTGACGAGGCGGGACGTTTCTTGCGGTGTGAATGCGGTTGCAGGACGCGTGACGGACGATCATATTTCGGCAAATCCAGCTAAACTCTCCTGAAATAAGTAAACAAGCTCAGAATTCCCATCGAGATGAGTAACAACCTGCATTAATTGCGACGAAATGGTTGAGGACTCGGACAAGAATTCGCAAGGGGCATGACCCGGTTCCTCACGGTCAACGATACTGAGACCATTTTCAGCTGCTTCAGCGATGGTACTTCAGATATAATTTCATTCTAGTCATTGGGGAAAAGTCATGGATACCGAAGATCTTTCTTTCGATTTCAAGACAAGTTGAAAGGTCGCGTTTGTTCGAAGTTTAGGTCGGGAGAGCCTCTCACGTGAGTATAACCTGGACTGCGACCGAGAAAACTCGAAATGAACCAATTCCAAGGACGGATGCCGGATGCCAAGGATGAATTTCGTCTTCCATCGCTTGGATGTCCCGATCAGCCCGTCGATCGGGAGGAGGCAAGGGCGCGGTGGGAGCGAATTCACGACGGTCTCCCCCCCCTCCAAGAGTGGTTCCTGGAAGGTGACCTTCTGCCCGTAGCAACTGCCTTTCTCGGGGTTCGAATCGACTCCCGCCTTTCCTGGAATCTCGAAGTCAGCTCGCAGTAGGCGGGAGGGGGAATGTGAGGTGGCAAAAGGTACGCACGTGTCTCTCCTATCCCCCCCCCCCCCTCTCACACACACACCTACATGTACACACATACATACATACACACCAAAAAATGAAAAAAGAGCAGAAGGAAAACCTGCGGGGAATGCATGAGAAACACGGGTATCAACATTGTGTTCAGTAGCAGTCCAGTCCAAGTTCAATTCACGTGCTGGTTGTAGTCGAGTTAGTGGTTCCGCTAACGTCGATAGGAGGTCCGGATATTTTATTTGTCGGCAGACTCGTTTCTCGAGATCCCGTCAGCCATAACAGAGAATACGATGAATCCCGTGTGCGCATTTTCAATCGTGACGCGTCTGGCTGCCGTTGCCTCGGGCAGAAGTTACCGAATGGGGAATATCTACGTTTCGAGGCTTGGGTCCCTTGTTCCAGACGGTTCGCTCGCAATGTCTTGGTGGTTCCAAGTGCGAAAATGACTATGAAACGAGAAGGAACGTCGAGAACCCATAGCTAGACAAGGACTCAACTAGATTTTGAAATCAACCAATGTCCCGCAGGTCATCTGGACCACAAGCGTAGGAACGTCCTCGAAAGTGTGTGTGTGTGTGTGTGTGTGTGTGTGTGTGGGGGTGGGGGTGGGGGGGGGGGGGGGGGGGGGGGGGGGGGAG